GAAGAACAAAAGGACAGCAACTTGTCTGTTCCCCTTCCCCCAATTCCCCAGCACTGTTCCCATCCCCCAATTCCCCAATAAAACCCTTTAAAAAAAAAAAAACCAAGTGAAATGGAAACAGGCAATTTCCAGAAAAACATAAAGCTAAGATGTTCCAATATAACCTGACGTGTCAATTTGAGATGAGATAAAGAACTTTCAAGTGATTTATCAAGGGCCAAGAGTCCTTTAGGAGCTGTATAAATATAGATGACAGAAAGTGATCAGAAGTATGATGAAAATCGGAAGAGTTCAGGATACGAAGGGGACCAGAGTTTTGCTAAATAATTGGAAGGCAGTATTTACAGAAGACAATTATCAAATACAAGGAACGGGAGTTAATAAAACATGAATTTCAGTTTCAATAAAATACATGTTGGCTTTTACCAGACAGAAATACACTACTATACTTTCCAAGCTACTATTCATCCAAGCATTTAGTTTTTAGAGTCCTTTACTACATTCAAACAAAGTCATCTCCATTCCTGTGTTCTATTGTATATTTCTTGCTACTGTCTTTACTAACTTGTAATGTGATGAGGGCTTTTGGCTATACATCATTCTTCCTTTTCAACCCCCCTTGCTCATGTAATCGGCAAATAGTGTCAAAAAGGTAATCGAGCTGTAATGTAATAGATAATAATATAAGCTCTCTGATTCTAAGCTGTCCTGATATCTTTTGCTATTTTTTCTTTCTATTATATTTTCTTTACAGCACTGTCAGCTTTTTTCTTAAATGAAGAAAAAAAGTGATAGCTTTGTCAAGCTATTGCTCCTCTGACCTCATAGCTGTGCTGCTGCACTCACCACCATAGGGTAAGTGCAGGGAACTGTAGCAAGGAGGAAATGAGCATTGTAGGGAGATAAACAGTTCTAATTCTCTACTCATCACTACTTCCAGTTGTTTTCAACAGTGCAGTGTGCTGGAAATACTATTTACTTGTCTGCTAATTATTTTTTAATGTGCTACATTTTCTAGATGCCAAGTAGGTCTGTTTCAGCCTCTGACGGTGTATCAGGGCAAGATTTGCACAGTACAATTTACGAAGTTATTCAGCACATCCCTGCCCAACAGCAAGACCATCTGGAGTAAGTATGAACTTGCCTTTGGTGATCCTGCCTTGGATGGGCTCGGCATTCAGCCCCTGCTTTCCCCAGAAATTACTGTACGCCTCAGAAGAAAAATATTAACATGGGAAATTATGGCTTCTACACATACTTTCCCACCTGAAAATAATCTGAAGAAACAAAAGAGGCAAACACATAAGTATCTTCTGCGGCTGTGCACTTGGGCCAGTGGACAAAATGGGGAGCTCTAGAATCCAGCATTCCCCCAGTGAATCTATATCTGGGCATGAAAAGGGTCTTCAGGCCAGTTCTCCCGCCATCATGGTTATCTTAACGATTTTCCAGTATTGATTTGGTTTTAGAGCCAGTGATCTATCTGTCACCAGAAAAATGACCAGGAAAACAAAACAAAAAAACCCTATAAAATGTACTCAATACTGTCACCATCCAAGTGCTCCACCTCTTACAGATTCAGAGCAGTCTACATGAATACCACCATGAGGACTGGCCTCCCACTGAGAGGATAAAACCTTAGCTGAGGCCAATGCCAAGACTGACACTAAGGAGTCACCAACCTTCCCAGTCTTGGAGAAACTAAACCTATAGCCTTTTGAAATAGTGAAACGAACTTCCCTTTTTTGTGGGTGATAGCTGCCTGCAGACATAACTGCCACAAATCATCTTCCATCATTTCTTTGTCATTTATTGACTTTGAAAAGAACATTAATAACCACACACAGGAACTTCCCCTCTGGCAAAAGAAACATTCCTAGAAAAGTAAGTCATGCACCCTTCTGGGTAAATAGCAAAAGTGATAGGTAGCAGTGGATGAATGCATGGGAAATCGCCTTACAGGCAGAAGACCCAGCCCTGGGAGGCTACACAGTCATTTAAAGGCTAAATAAGTGGCAGGAGCACCTCAGAGGACCCACCCCACTTATGCATTCCTTCTTGTCCCAGGGGACCTGGAGAAAAGGGAGTCAGGTAAATTAGGAGCAGAACCCTGATGGAGCTAGGAACTTCTGGTTTAAAAAGAAATTTGTTTTAAAGCATTATATTTATAATCTAGTAAAACACGAGAGTGGAATATTATTCCATAACAGTTTTAAAAAAAATCTAAAATTACACCTAACCCTCTTTACTTTCTGGAGTAGAAAATTAAGGGATCTTTTCTTTGTTAAATATAAGGAATAGGAAGAATTTTGACAGTATGTCTGTTTCCTAATTTTAAGATTGTGTCTCATTAAAAATTGTATGCTATTTATATTCATGTGTTTTTCCTATATGTCCTTCATTCTATATATCTATTTTTCCAATTAGAATGCAAACAAACGATATAAAAACTTGAGATTTAACTTTTAAGTCTCCCAATAATGAAATAAATACTGCTTTTAAACTGTGGAATATGGCAGTTACAATTTCAGAACACAAAATAAAATGATTAGGTTGGTTTTGCATGCAAAAAACCCCGAATCTTTACATTAAAAAAAAGAAAAAAAAAAGCAACAACAACAACAAAAAAAACCTCTAAAAAAATAATTGCAAGAAAAAAAGAAAAAAAACCCCTCTGAAACTAGAATGCTTTCAGGTTTGAGCAATATCTTTACAACTTTTTGGAAATGTAAGACTTTATTTCAGAAATAAACTTTGAAGGTTGAAAATAAAGCAGAAATGTTCTTCTCCAAGCACATAAAGGACTATTCAAAGCTGCTACTGACATGCTCCTTCAAGAGGCAGTCAACCCAGGAACACCGGTTCAATCCCAGCCCGAGGGACCCCTCCCCCATCTCCACGGCCTCTCTCTTCTCACCAACTTCTTCTCCATCTTCTGAGTCTTGCTTCGTGTGTCTTTGTCTTCCTGTGACTCTCTCCTCCTCTACCTGCATCCTTTGATGTCCTCCCTCTCTGAATCTGCCCTTCTCTTCTCTTCTCTGTAAAACTGTCTCCCTTCTCTCTAATATCTTTTAAAAATCTCCTCCTCTGTCTCTCTTCCAACTCATCCCAAAGGGGAGCCAATATTTTAAAAAGTGTTATTTTCCTTGAATACAGATATATGCTACCTGTTCTAAAAACAAACAAGTAGAATATTTTCTTTTTATTTCAGAAATAAAAAGAAAATATTCTATTTGTTTTAAATCTATCCACAAACATTTCCAGGACATTAACTATGTACTAGGGATAGAGATTAAATAAGATGCAGTCTTTTAAGGATTTCATACTTTAGTGGGTTCCTGTTTGCTTATTTTAACTAAAGACTAGTGGTTCTTAGTAGAATAAATATTCCTCAGCAAGATAAACATGGCCTAAACATACAGGGACCATTTTTCTCTCCTGATTGCCTGCGGTCCTAATTGCTCTAGGTCCAATTAAATTCAAAGATCAATTTCATGAATAATGCAGTATTACATGTGGTTAGTGAATGTCTCCCATCCCCCATTCCCAAAGTGAATGTGCCTGCTCTGGGTAAAGTATCATAACTTACTGCTTTCTTTTACTTCTATTTGATGGTTGCTTCTGATATAGGAAAGACAGCCAAATTTTTTTTTCTTTGGCTCTGAAGACTATTCTAGCTGTGTTGTTTTCATTACTATATGTATCTATTACCTAATTGGACTGGTATTTAATAAATTGGTAAGTTGATCTGTGTTCATATTCTATTACTCAGCCAATTATTTGTTATTTGAATTCATGGCTGCATTTATTTAGATGCTGTCTGTTTACTTCATTAAATACTCCTGGCACAGCTTACTTTGAACCCAAGAGTGGCTGTTACTATCTTAAAAATAAGACATTCAAGTAAGTGAACCTTTAGTTGCAAAAGGAAATCACCTACAGAATTGAGTTATTGCTTACTCTATAGTTATTGGTTTATAAATGTAATTTTCTTGACCTAGTTCAAAACTCATATTATTTGCAGCTATGGAAAGGAATAAAAGGACTGAAGGTTCCTCTACCTTAGAATTGGAAATCTATAGAATATTTTACATGTCTTATAACATTTCTTTGGCAGGTGAGCATTCATAGGCAAAACAGTGCATTGGAGTGAAATAATGAAGGAACTGTTTGGAGGAAAAACAATGGCAATGTATATTCATCCGGAATCAGTGAAGAAATCAAGCCCAATACCTCTTACTCATTACAAATGCTTTTAAATGCAGAACAGAGTCATTTATAAAAACTGGACTGCAGGTTTTCCTGCATACACACTATACACTACAGTGAAGCCTGGCTGGGAAAAAGGCCTCAGTGGATAGTCTTTATCATGCTGACTCAGAAAAAGAAGACTGGGGATTTCCAATTAGTCTCTCTCTATCAAGTTCCTCTAAAAGGCTCCATTAGTTCTTATCTATACTTTCACTTTCATCAACATTGACACTATCAGATCTAACCTAGGAAACGTTTTATTTGGAAAATTTTCAGCAGACTTTGTTTTATTAAATTCTCATTATTTTTTAAGATTGCTGTATTTATTTTTTTATTTCATCCCCAAATTTCTGTCTTGATATTTGTGCCACAGAAAATGATGGTTGTCTCAAAAACAAGACTGTGCCTTCTCCTTGGCTGTCAATCACCAATGGTGAAAAGACTTGTAAAATGCTACAGGAAATGACATTAAAGTCTTACTTTTATTTTTGTTCAAGGAAAGATGGATTCAAATAAATTATTCTGGTTTTGCTTTTATATGGCCTAAATTCTTTGCCTTATAGAGTGAAAATTTTACGTAGAAGTCAGATTGTAGAATTAGATATTTTACCCTTATTTCTCACTGTGCAATTGTTGCGGGATACTCGGACAGAGACGGGACACCAAGGCCCAGGGCGGGAAGCAACGTTTATTGATGCCAGCATCGGCTCAGCAGATTCATATCCAGAGGCTGAGCCCAGATCCGGACAGGACTCCGAGCTACATACCCTGAGGTTTCTGGGTTAGCAGCGAGGATTCCTTATTATGGCATGTGGCATTGTGTTAGTTCCTGACGGGCTCCCGGGTGAGGTGGAATTGGGAAATGTTAAACAGGAAAGTCTTGGTGGCCAAGTGGTCCGGGAAAGCCTTTGTCTAGGGCTCCCTGCCACACAATAAAGTGCAGATTATTGAGAACGACTGAAATGAGAATCTTGCTTTCTCACAGCTTTTTTTTTTTCCTCCAGGCTTACTGTATTGAACTGCTGATTCTGGGAAAGATCTTGCTCTTTGTACATTGCTGAATTTTTAAAAAATCAGTGAGAGACCAAATGCTAGAATTAGATAACACCATTTCACAACCCCCAAATAAAAAACTATTCGGATAACAATCATCATTAGGCAAGACTGCTAGATAAAAGGTACGAGATAAAACTACTAGATAACCCAGTGTAAGGTTGCAGAAACTCTGTGAAGGGAAGTTGGCCTGAGGCCTAGACAGAAGCACGTATACAAAATGGCACAGGGAAGCTGTTCAGGGTGCAGTGAGGCCCAGGGCGTGGGGACAGAAGGATCATTGAGTCTTATAGAGATCTTGGAGATGAAAGACTAATATATATATTTAATCACATTGGCTGCAAACATTCTTAAGACAGGTTAGTTACATCATTCAGTCAGGAATTTCCTGATAGACTGAACAAAAGAATAAAGCACTGGCCATTTCTTACATTAGCCATTTCTTTATAAATTATAAGATAACTCCCTCATACTAGAACAGAGACATCCATCATGCCCCAGAGCAACAAAGCCACTTTGGAGGACATTAGGAAAGGCCTTCCCAAGGCTGAGCAACAGAACAAATCTGATAAACACCTTAATGACAGGCACCAGCATTCTAGCATTCCCCCTTCCAGGCAGAAAGAAAAGTATAAAACTCAAGCCTTTTACCCTAGCTAGTGGGCATCCCAGTTTTCGGGTACCCCCTCCTGCTTGGGAGCTGTAACCTTTCTCTTGCTTTAATTAAACTATCCTCTGCTACAAACTTTACCTCTCTGGTCCGTGTCTCCGTTCTTCAGCTTGGCAAGACTATGACCCCGGCACAAGAAATACCCTACATCACTCTGACCTGGCAATGCCACCCTTTAGTATTTCATTCCAGCCAAATAAAGGTAGACACAACCCAAATACCCAACGATATAGTATTTTTATTTTTATTTTTATTTTTTTATTTATTTTGGGGTTTTTTTAGATTTGTATTGGGGAATTGAGGGAGGGGAACAGCATTAGTGAATCGGGGGAAGGGGAACAGACTAGTTGCTGTTCTTTTGTTCTTTTTTTTTAAAAGATTTTTATTGGGGAATTGGGGGATGGAAACAGCACTGGGGAATTGGGGGAAGGGGAACAGATAAGTTGCTGTCGTTTTGTTCTTCAGTCTAGTTGTGGAGGACATTGCTTCACTAGCCCAAGCTGGCACCATAATTGCGCTCTTCCCAGGTGAGGCAGATCAGTTGCCGGCTTCTGGACGGCTGCTCACGGTGGCTGCTCACG